CTATGCAGCTTCTTCCCACGAGATCCTGCATTTGCTTGGGTGGTCTTGCACCAGCTTCCTGGAACTGCTGGTTGTTTCTTTTAACATGTCAATCATGCTGTCCTCCCTCTGCCTCTCCTCTGCTTCATCATCTTCTCCGTTTGCATCCTTAGGTAGCAGTGTAAGGACGCCTTTGGGATCCTGCAGGTCCTTCTTTTTCAGACTCTTTTATGGGCTGTCTTCTGAGTGCTGCAGAGTGGTTGCAGCACACTCATCTTTCTCAGTTGTTGTTTCTATGTTCCTCCTGTAGGAAATGCTTCCAAAGAGGATGGAAGATTTTGTTTGGTGCTAAGAAAAAAAAAAAATTAAGACACAGTTGAAGCTTCGGCCTTGAAAATTTGACCCTTTATTTTAAGCCATTTGTTTTTAGATACTCAGTTGTGTCTTGGCCTTAATAATGGGCTTACCACGCTGCTTGTGGTTTGAGTGCCAAAGCAGGACACTAGCGGTAGAAGCAAAAATGGAGATTAAAAAAGATGGAAATACTGCTTCCAAGTACAGAGACAGAGCTAAGTAGTAACCTGCCAAACTGATAAAATGGCAATGACAGCCTGAACTGCAGATCATAATGTCACCCTGCTAAAGCGTAAGATGTACAGACAATAGCAAAACATTGTATATTACCATCAGAAAGGATGTTTTCACTGATATCTTAATGATGGCATGGAAGAGTTAATCCTGGTTTGTTGGAGGCAGTTTTATGTGATTTCTGGTAGAACAGCCAGGGAATCAATTCCCTCTGCTAAAATAGTAACTGTTTAATTCAAAACCAGAAACAGCAAAAGCTGGTTGTTACCTTAAATTTAATAATAATTAATTGTGGGACAGCAAACCGTTATTAAGCTCAACTGCAATTTCAGAGTTTGTCTCAACCCTGTCTCCTTGCTTTGTCCTTCTCAGTCAATCCCCGTACTTTATAAAAAGCCCAACTGCATCCTAAATCCACTTTAAACTCTTGTGTTTTATTGCCTTGGCAGCTTACAATATAGCTTTTTTGTTCACTTCGTCCCCTGAATAAAATTTCCTATGGACCCGATCCTCAGCCATCCTCTGCTGCCGTAGCTCAATCAACAACCACCACTCTGCTGATCCAGATGATCGAGCCCACTCCTATTAATCATTGGTCCTTTCCCCCGCCCCCCAGGCAGATTGCTTGCACGCTGTTGGCAGGGTTCCTGTATCATCTGTTCATTCACTAATAACACTATTCAGCATTTATTGGGCCAGCCTGGCGCTCTGCACAGTCAGCAGCAAAGCTGCTATTGATTGCATGATGGGGAAGCAGAATCGAGCCGTATACAACCACATTACTCTGTATTCCGAGAGCCCTGTGCAACTACAATGCAGTTAATTCACTAATGGTTTATATTCGTCCTGCTTGTGTCATAAAGAAGAGAAAACGTTTCAGCACTGCTGGGGTGGGGGGAGTGGTTCACATGATAGTTGTTCAGAGGATTTGGGAGTCACGTCACAAAAGGCAGGTTGTGGGCTTTGCTCCAGCAAGGACAGGCCTTAGTAAGTGTAAGGCACATTGCCAAAGACTGCCTCTTAAGGGAGGTGAGATTGGCCAGCCTGTGTTCCCTGATTACATACATCAAATCAAATCGCCAGATAAAAACGGTACAAAGGACAAAATATTTTCGGAAGGAAGAGTGAATATGATTTCACTTATGCCAGGTTACAGCATCTACATTCTTGCTTCCCATGGAGAAGAAAGCTGCACCATATCCATTACATTACATTTTAAAATTTTGAAGGCTATTACTGGGGACTAGAATGCTTCCTAAAGTATCTCCTAGTATTTTGTCAATGACAGCAGGCATTAAAATAACACAGAGTAGCTTTAAAAAATGAAAAGGTGCTTGGCATTTTGCAGTCTATGTTTTGTTTCATTTTTTAAATGGTGATGCTTTTCCCTAGAAAGAATAATATATTATTCACAGGATTTAAAATGTATTGAACATTGAAAAGTCTTAATTCAAGTACTTTCATTGTGTCACTTTTTGCAAATTTGGAAAGGTTCCGAAAAATTTGCAAAGCTCATCCATGCAATTTTTAGAGAGTCTATTACCTTAGCTAATACCTGTAGTTACTTTAAGGAGATGATTGTAAAAGTGGTTTAAAGAGTTTCATTTTGTAGCATTCCAGTTTACAATACAGTGTTTAACACTGCAGTGGAACAAAATGCATAATTACAGATGTAACTGGCAGCAAAAGAATGGCATACATAAATACAGACACAAGCAGATATGCCAACCTCATTATCACTGACATGTGAAGACCCACCATGGAGACACGACCTGAGCCTAATTTGGTAATACCATCTTAAAACCTCAAGAAGTGGTGTCTTATTTCCTCCCCAGCCAAATTGCTTCTCCCTGAAATAAGCTTCGTAAACATGGTCATTTTCCTTGACTCACATTTTGGAGCACAACTTGGTTCTGTTTCCACGTTAAGAAGAGTCTTACTGATCTAAAATCCATACTTACCAGAGAGGCTCTTAAACCTGTGAAGATTTAAGGACAGGGCTAACTTAATGCACAGAGTAGCCCCAGTTACTTTAGTATGTGATTTCTGCAAGTGGAAGGTCAATGAAACAGAGGCCTTGTTTTCACAGTCATTATTTCTGAGTAAGCATTGCTTTCTGTTATGACAAAATTACTTTTTACTATAACTGCAATTAATTAGTCCTGAATACCAACATTTTTATCCAAATGTATTTGTAACCCTTATGTGGCTTCCTAAACACAAATAAATCAAATATTAATGCAATATCATTCCAACTAATAGTCTTTGGGGGATTTTTGGCACATGGACCAGGGGACCTGTGACCTCTGCACTGGCCAGGGACTTTCTCCCAGGCAGCCTGTGGCTCCCTCAAAAACCCTCTGTCATCCTCTTCTCCACCATGATAACCCTACCTTCTTGAGCATCTTGACCCCCACTGCGGTGCTGCATGCCGTGCTGTCCCATGCTGTCCCTAGGTCTCATTCCATTTCTTTGCTGTGTCCTCCTTGCCCTCTCCTGCTCACCTTCCCTTCCTCTTGCCTGGCTGGAACAGAAGAGGAGCTCGGTGTGGAGTAGCACAGGGTGAGTCGGTGGCTTTGCACAGGGATGACACACTGCACTGGGCCTGCAAATGAGGCTGAAGGACCTACAGGTGGAGAGCACTGCTGGGAGGGAAGCAGAGGCTGAGTGAGCTTATAAAAGGAACAGCTTAGAAGAAGTATTTAGAAGTCTCACTAGGCCCTTAGTAAAAAAAAAAGTGTTCAAACTCCTCCATAAGTAAATTTCAGCCCCAGACATGTTCAATTGTATGGGTAATTCTTACAGGTATTCCACAAAAAACATCCAACTTAAATCTACCCTGTTTCAGGTCAAACCCATTACCCCTTGTCCTGTCACTACAGGCCCTAGTGAAAAGTCCCCCCCAGCTTCCTTGTAGCCCCTTCAGGTACTGGAAGGTGCCATAAGGTCTCCCCGGAGCCTTCTCTTCTCCAGGCTGAACAAGCCCAACTCTCTCAGCCTGTCCCCATAGCAGAGGTGCTCCAGCCCTCTGAGCATCTTCGTGGCCTCCTCTGGACTCGCTCCAAGTGGTCAATATCCTTCTGATGTTGAGGGCTCCACAGTTGGACGCAGCACTCCAGGTGGGGTCTCACAAGAGCAGAGCAGAGGGGCAGAATCCCCTCCCTCGACCTGCTGGCCACACTTCTCTGGATACAGCCCAGGATACGGTTGGCTTTCTGGGCCGCCAGCGCACACTGCCGGCTCATGTCCAGCTTTTCATCCACCAGTATCCCTAAGTCCTTCTCCTCAGGGCTGCTCTCTATCCATCCTTCCCCCAGCCTGTACTTGTGCTTGGGATTGCCCCAACCCAGGTGCAGGACCTTGCACTTGGCCTTGTTGAACTCCATGAGGTTGGCAGTGGCCCACCTCTCCAGGCTGTCCAGGTCCCTCTGGATGGCGAATGGTACTGAATTCCTATACTTCACACTGTTCCCTGGCATTTGTCAATTGCAAAGCTTTTAGTTTAGTTCATTTCAGAGCAAAGGTTTCCCTTTGTCCCCCTAAGCATGTTACTTCTTTGACCTAAGGGGCCAGAAACACTGCAGAGCAGAAGGCTGTAATCACAGCACCAGGAGAGCTCAGCCTCGGGCATCCCTCTGAGCCCAGCGTCAGTGGGGTAAGGCTTTCTGTCTGCCAGGTGAAGCACTTGGTTCCTCCCTTTACAGAATCAAGACTTACACTTGCAAAGATGTATTTTTGCTACAGCATGTGGAGTTCAACCTTCCTGAAATGTGAAGGAGTACTGGCAAAACAAACTGGTATTAGCAAACAGAACTGCAGAGGAGCCTCTGGTCTGCTGCATTTTTCTAAGATGTAGAATGGAAAAAAAAATACTGTCCCTACCTAGACATCCTCTACTAACCTCTATACTTGAGTTTCTCCACAAATAGAGGGTTTTCTAAATTATAAAGGAATAACCTGCCTGTATTGATGATTGTGCATACAGTAAATTACTTCAGATACAACAAAAGTTTATGTGATGTGAGCCTTAAGCGCTTTAAGACATGCTCTGACTTCACCAAATCATCACCTGGTGGAAACAACAGCACTCCGTTGTCTTACAGGAGATAAACTCGTTCCCTCAACTAAGAATCTATTCCACTGACTTTCAGCTCCCGTGTCAAGAAACACTTTGTATGCATTTTCTTCTCTGTAATGTGAATTGTATTCTCTTGGCTCTTGAAAGTTACTGAGAAGCAGAGAGAGTGAACACCTATGTCGTGTTCACATGTTGCCTGTTAACCACATTTGCAGGAAGATGCCAGCCTTTCAAGTACAGCTCTAAGGATGTCAGTGGTGCCGAAGGCCACGGTGACTGTCTTAGCCTGTCACAATACTTAATCGGGAAATTATTTATATTATGGAAACTACTCTCTTTGGCTTTTCTGCTTTAGGCTCTTCAGACGTACCAGACTGATCCTGCCATGAGAAAGATGCTTACTCAGCTGTATTTCTATATCATGCCTGTATTTAATGTGGATGGATATCATTTTAGCTGGACACATGTAAGTAGTATCAGTAGCATTCCTCAAAAAATTGTTCACACATGAAAGATGGAATGGTTTTATGTTATTCAAAGGTGACTTTATAATCTGGTCCATCACTTTGTGGCATGCAAATTGGAAGTAAATTACTCCAGTTAAAATACAACACTGAATATGTTTACCAGGGTTGGTTTGTTATGTGTACAAATAGATTTTTTTTGCCAAAATATAGTAATATTACTATTTAACTATTTTATAACTTATGTTAGGATCGATTTTGGAGAAAAACAAGATCGAAGAACACAAGGTTTCACTGTCACGGTGTTGATGCTAATCGCAACTGGAAAGTGAAATGGTGTGGTAAGTCTGGAGATGCTTTGGTCCACCAGTTCAGATTACCCTGTATTTAATTATCCAACAGAGTAAGTAGGTTAGGTCACAGCCATTGTGAAGCGTTTTGAAGCTGCTTTCCCATGAAGCCACAAGCCAGGGCTCAAATCTTCCTTCGAGCTTCTAAAAAAAAAAAAAAAGCCCTGAACTTTGGAAAAACACATCTCATCACAAGTGAAAAAAAAATCAGGGAGAGTGTGGCAGAATTTCATGGAGAGCTGCACATACAGCTATTCTGTATTTCTGCAATCATGTAAATAATTTGAAGCACGGTATTAAGCCTGGCCCACCGCATTTCAGAATTTACCTGACTACAGCTTTAGGAAACATTTCAAACTTCCATTCTATTTAATTCCTTATTTCTCTGGAACGACTTTAGTTTTGGAAATGTCAGACTTACTTTGTTGGCCTCGCAGAGAAATGTCTGAGAGTATTTTAAGGCCACTATTATTAGTGATTTAATAAAGAAGTAATGTGCTTCTAAATGCACGGAGATCCAATTTTAAACCCCCAGCACTTCTGTAAATACTTTCATAAAAACTGACCTCAGTTTTGCATAGAGAACGCAGCAGTAATGAAATACGAGCAGAAGATTTGGAATGGGCCCACTGGAGAAGAGGTGGTATTTTATTAAGTCTTACAGCAAGACAGTGCCAGTCACGCAGGAGCAGGCAGCCGTACGAGTTCTGGTGCACTTTGTTGTGGAACATGGTGGTGTTCGCCTGGTTCTCCTGCTGACCTGCTCTCCCATCTTCAGCAACTTCCTTCACCTCTCTGTGCAACTCTCTGCTCCTCCAGCATTCTTCCGCCTTCCCGATTTACATTATAAACTTGTCAGGACAGAAAGGGTGTTTGTGTAGCACTAGCACAACAGCCCTCCCTTCGGCCCGTCCCTCTTCCACTGGAAGTGTCTAGATGTTTCTGCAATACTCGGATTGATGGCAGTAGGAGTGAGCCCTGTTCAGGCTGGCTTGCAGGGAGTGGAGGCTTTAAGTAGGTTTTTGAGAAGGGTAAGGATAAAAGTGAGTGTGAATAATCTGCCTGGGGAGATTACAGATGAGGTGAGAGTGAACAGAAGCGTTCGTTCAATACGGTACGGACCTGTGAAATACGCTTCCAATTTTTTTTTGACTCTACTTGCAGTAAGGAGGGAACTGGCACAGAAGCAGTTACAGAAAGCCTGTGTTAGCTAAGAATCCCTCCACTACAGAAGACAGCCCCAGGGCTGCTGTCATGATCTTTAAGGCAATTTGATGCTGCAAAAATACTGCCAAAACGAACAAAAGTCACAGAATCACTAAGGTTGGAAAACACCTGTAAGATCATCCAGTCAAACCATCAACCCAACACTGCTGTACCTACTAGGCCATGTCCTCAAGCACCACGTCTACACGTTCCTTGAACACCTCCAGGGATGGTGACTCCACCATTCCCTGGGCAGCCTGTCCCAACGCCTGACCACTCTTTCGGTAAGGAAGTTTTTCCTAATATCCAATCTAAACCTGCCCTGACGCAACTTGAGGCCATTTCCTCTTGTCCTGTCACCAGTTACCCAGGAGAACAGACCAGCACCCGCTTCCCTACAACCTCCTTTCAGGGAGCTGTAGAGAGCGACCACATCTCCCCTCAGCCTCCTCTTCTTCAGGCTAAACAACCCCAGCTCGCTCAGCTGCTCCTCACAGGACTTGTTCTTCTGCATCACTGCATCACTGCTATCATCTCTTACTTAAGCATGTAAGTCACAACTGCAGGCATTCGGGGGACATACATTCACTGTTCGGAAGATAGCCACCGGCGTTGCTGGAATGAACAGTTCTCTTACAAAGTCTTCAGGGCCATATTATAGGTACCTGTCAGCACAACATTGATACACACTGCATTTTCTTTCTAGTTCTCATTAATCTTTCTTGGATTCAAATCACTCTGCTCCTCCCTCTTCCTGCTCCCTAGCCACTGTATTAAAGCACACATTTTAATCGGTCCTGAAAATGCTTGTTTAGTTTTCACTAAACCCCCACTTTTTCTAGGCTGAGTGAAACTATAACAAGACACACACGTGCTGTGTGTTGCAATCTTGTTGCATTTCTCCCCGGCACTGAAAGTGAAAGACAGGCACCCACCCCGAGTTTAAAAAATAAAAATTCCTTCAAGGTTAGAATCATAGAATCACAGGATGGTCTGGGTTGGAAGGGACCTTAAAGACCATCTAGTTCCAACCCCCCTGCCATGGGCAGGGACACCTTCCACCAGACCAGGTTGCTCAAAGCCTCATCCATCCTGGCCTTGAACACTTCCAGGGATGGGGCATCCACAGCTTCTCTGGGCAACCTGTTCCAGTGCCTCACCACCCTCTCTGGCAAGAATTTCTTCCTGAAAAAGAAACCTCCCCACTTTCAATTTAAACCCGTTAGCCCTTGTCCTGTCACTACAGGCCCTGGTTGCTCATCATCCCACCAAGCACATGCTCTGCTTCCCTCATCGGACCCCAAACTCGGTCTGAGTCTCTATTTTGCCAGAGAATAAAGAGCTCGTTCATTAACTGGGCTGACTGGTGCTCAGAAGATCCTCACCCGGCGCCCTGTGTTCTCATTAATCTGACACTAAATGAGGCAGAGAAGAATCTGGATCATATCACACTTTGAGGCTTGTATAATCATGGTGCGTTTAACATTCCGTACTGCGGATGCTTGCAAAAGCCTTTTAATTCAGTTCGGTCACGCTTACGGTTCGCAGACAGGCTTCAAGTTCACCGTGGGGCTTCCAGGCAGGTGTGTTGCGGCAGAATCCGATCCCAGCAAAGCTGCTGAATGCTGGCTGCAGTGAGCTAGTTGGTAAAGATAACACAGCATCCTTTCTGCTTTCCTCTTCCCTTCTAATGTGGGACTTTGATTTAAGCTTTATGATGTTGCTTCTGTATTCTCTAGGGACTGAGAAAAGGGCCGTAGCACTCACTGATTGGGGCAGATTTCACTTTGCAGTGCTCTGTACCCAAAATAGTGCCCTGAAATTGCACGCAGACCCAGGTGAATGCTGACAGCAAGATCTCTGGGCAGAAATGCTCCTCGCATTATATATATATATATATATATACACACACACACATATATATGTGCAGTATCTAACACAGTGGTTGAATGTTCATGAAATAAGTAGCAACTTTAAAGCCAATAATGAGGTACTTTGAACTAAACTCTATCATAAAGCAAATGCGGTTAAAGGGGTTGCATCTGAAGCCCCCAAGAGAGCTCCAGTGGGAGTTAAAGTTTCAAGTGCATCCCAATTTCCAATGCACCCCATTGCTCACCAAGGACAATACCCCACACTGGCAGAAGTGGCTGTGAGGAAGTTTGAGAATCCTGCTCCAGCTCATCCATCTTCCCAGTCTTCCTTCTGTACCAAAGCATTGGTTTTATCAGTCTCTGCACACATTTCCTTTGTGCATTTGATCTCATGACGGATGTTGGAGGATACTCGTCCTCCCCCCTAGATGCTATCGGGTACAAAAATAAGGCAGCCTGGTAACATTCTTTGCAATCCCATTTTCTTCTCATGACCGCAGCTCCGAAATTTCACAGGAGTTGATACATACTGTACTGGGTTGGTTTTTTTTCCTTCTGGGTGGTTTTGAAAGAACTTCCAGCTTGAAGATTGAGGATATCCTTATATTATCCAAGGCCAGCATGGGAACCCTCTCTTTTTACTACCAGCCAGCTTCACTGAAAGAAAAGCATTAACTACAGCTGGGATTGCAAATGGCTCGCAATAGCGGGCTGGGTAGTAGTGAGTTTTTCTTTGCTGAAAGTCGCTAAACGGAGCCATATTTTACCATTGGGTCATTTACCATTAGCTTGTAGGAGTCTGCTGTTTATCAACAGTGATGTCCATTTTCATGACAACACTGTTACCGAAGATGAAGTATCCATTAAAAAAAAAAGCAAAGGCTCCAGAGGTTCTGTTAAATAGCTCTCCTTTAGCTAGATTGTCTGACAAGACATCAAGGAAGAATGCTTTTGGGATTTGGATGACTTGGTGGCCATCTGTTCTGCAGGGAGAAGACCATCTGCCCCCTTTATAGCCCTTCCATATCCACTGCAATCTAAGCACTAATACCTCTTGAAATCCCCACCTGTGGCCATTGAACGGTAGCCTGGATTTTCATATTACAAATGAAGCTGCAGCATGAAATTCTTCCCCTTTTTAATTTTTTGGGCACTAGGTTGATTGCATAACCCTGCTTTAGTTCATATCATTATGCCTTCTCACACACTGCTCTTTTCTCATTATTCGAAGGTGGCGTGGTGGTACTTAACTAGACACAGGAAAGCTAATAAAGCGCTGCTTTTGTAAGTCCCTGATGACACCAGGGAATGTTGCAAACAAACTATTGTTATTCTGCAGGTCAGTGTAAAACATGTGGCATTTTGAAATCACAGTGGATAAAAGAGCAGAGTGGATTTGCATAAGTATTGTTCTTTTTAGGCCCAGGCCCTAAGCTGTAAATGAGATGGTGGCTTAGATCCAGAACTGCCGGATGATAAAGGAGCCGCTGCCACATCTCCTTTTCTGAGTCGCATCCTTCAGTCCCTGGTGGGATAGCACAGGCAGGCTACAGCGCTGCAGCTTACTGCTGCCTGAGCAGTTCGCCATGGTGAAAGATCCCCTCACAACGGAACCCCCGCCCCAAACCTGAAGGAGAATTGAGCCCTGTGAAACTGAGGCGATTTCTGGTTTGGCTAACTGAGCGATCGTCCCATGTGGTTTGTCATTTTTTTTCCCCTGAGGTTTGCAAGAGTGAAAATAGTCGGTAGCCGGGAACTGTTCTCGTGTTTTAAACGAGCCTTTAAGATAATGCCTGCTGAGGTTGTCTTCCTGCCACTGTAAGCACCGCCGGGGTAGCTAGTAGGTTAAAATGCTTGTGAAGGCTCGATTTGTCTTGGCAGTGAGTAGTGAAAGCGGTATGGCGCTCTGATTTCAAACAGACCAACTGAGACCCTTCCGCAGTTTCAATACTTGAATGCTGTCATAAAATGTGCCACTCGATGGCAAGCCAGGGAAGAAAACACGGTGAGGTCAGGCTCTCCTTTTTCTGTTGGGTTAAAAATATGCCCTGTGGGAAGAACTGGCTGTTTGGCAACTTGGTGTGTCTGCCAGATGATCGAGCATCTAGTACGGTACAGATCCCACTGAGATTGCTGTGCTGAGGTCCCACTGGCTCCTTCATGCCCATGGGTCACACGAAAGCAATCTGCGTATGGCTTTTCTCGCTCTTGCAGCCAGGCCCGCACAGGCTGAGCCAGAAATTGGCCCGCAGAAGTTCTCCGCAATCGCTTACCACCAACTTTCTCTTTCAATCTCTAGATGAAGGTGCTTCATTTCACCCCTGCGATGACACCTACTGTGGTCCCTTTCCTGAGTCTGAGCCTGAAGTAAAGGCTGTTGCTCATTTTCTCCGCAGACATCGGAAACACATAAAAGCCTATTTGTCCTTCCACGCCTATGCACAGATGCTGCTGTACCCTTACTCTTACAAATATGCAACTATTCCAAACTTCAGCTGTGTGGTAAGTGCATTAAAACTTGGAGGAATATGCTTTCCCATATAATATTTTTGGGTGCGTTTTGTTTTTAGAGGAGACTTGTTTCTGCAGTGCTTTGCACGTATCTAATAGTGAGCAGTGTTTATTCTGGATCCACTTGCAATCTCTCTTCCGGTTATATAACCGTCACCCAAAGTGAGTCAGCAGTAATTTGATTAAAATGGTATTATGCCTTCCATCCATCGGTCCCTTTAAATTACTTTATAGGATAAATCCCTGGGTTTTAATTATAGTTATTATCATTTTATTTAATTAACTTTAATGGGAATTATGTAGTTAAGTCCTTGCGCATCTATCTGAAACTCTGTCCCTTCATGCTCAGAACTTAAACACTAGAAGCTCAAGGAAGCTAATCTTCCATTTATAAGCAAAATCAAAATGTTTTATGTTTATCAATTAGAGGAAAAATCTCATAGATTTCACCAAAATTACAGCTTCTATTGCTTTATGTATCACCCTGCTCAGACATAGTGATTTTACCCCTTTAAGACAAGCAGTTAATTAACATCAGGTGCTTTGGAGTTTTTGTCTATTAGAAGAATAGATGGTTTTTGATGCAAGCCTTTTGATGTACAGTTACGTACGTATCGTGTATTCCCTGCTCATCTAACCGCAGGAGAACTATTCCCTCTGCTCACAGTTTGAGGTCTGGTTGTAGCCAGCCTCCTGTACATGAAGCCTTTCCAGTGGCTTATTCTCTTAGGGAAATGTGACTCGAGCATCACTTCCTGCTTGCTCCTGCTCGCAGGCACCAACCATGGCACCAACCAGTAGCAAGCCTCTGGTTTTCGCCCTCACTCCCTCAGCAAAATCACATTGTCTGCCTGTCTCCCATTTTGGCCTTGAAAGTTGAAGAGACGTTTAACTTACTAGTTAAACCTAGTTTACTCCAAAAGGAGCTTAAACTGAGCCTGATATTTATCCTGTGCAGAATATGTGACGTTTAGTCCCTGGAGCATTGCTGAAGTTTCACCCAGCTGCCCTCTCGGCAGGCTGAGTAGCCAGCACTCCACAAACTGAAGTCTCTTTGTGGATTTATTTCTGTTAAGACAATTTCAGCAGCTTCTAAGAATTCTCCTGTCTGATGTCATTCTTGGGAAATGGAGCAAATCAGAAGTTAACTAAGCAGCCAGAGGAGCTAAAAATACGAGCCGTGGGGACTGGCCACCCAAACCTGCATTGACTGTGGATAAATCCACATGCCTTCTTTTTATTCTACCTTCTCCACCTTCTTTTGGGGCAAAGGGAAAGAAGAGCGCTCTGAGGGAATCAGTGACTGTTACTTACCAAAAACCATAGACTGGGAATTTAAAACCACGGGATCTCATTCCTTTGAAGACCAGCAGGTGCAAGCACATTTTTTTCAAGAGCAGACAAGACAGCAAAAGTTAAAGACATGGCATTAGGAGGAATGAACTCTGCAAGAAGATGACTGTTGGGTGTCTTGATGAAAATACCCAGAGTAACGTAAGGTAATACCAGGAAATTCATTGCAAGGAAAAGGAGTCTCAGAGTTTTCCCACATACCAGTACATCTTCAGTACGTGTTCTTCTTGTTGCTCAAGGGCTATTTCCATTCTGAGACAAGGAGTAACAACCCCTCAGCACACACACTTTCCATCCACCACTTTTAGACCAAATGAACCCAGTTTATGGGGAGTAGTAGGTGTTCCCCAGGTTTGTGAGACCTTGGATCAGGCTTCTCATCAGAGGGAGTGGAGCACAGACCTAAAGAACAAAGAAAGGCACTGTTTTAGACAACAGCCCTGGACAAACAGAAGCCAAATCCCAATTCTAAATATTTCACCAGTATTTGGACTCTATACTTTCTGTTGTGGTGGCTCCAAAAGAACAGGGAGGTTGGAATAAGAAACTGAAGTAATTTTCTGTTATTTAAAAAGCTCGTTATGGGCATCGTAGTGAAAATGAATGGAATACTGTTGCTTATTTACTTGTGGGTTTTAATATTTGCCTACAGCCAAGGCTGTGTCCCCTGGTGACTCTGAAATGAGGAGTCTTTAATTTCTGAAGTGTCTGAAATGGTGACCTAGGCTGAGGCTTCGGATTCTCCAGTTCTCTTGGAGAATTAGAGTGAGCTGGAATGCTGCAGCTGCTTGATGGAACAAGCTTTGTTGGTCTACACGGACTGTGTGCAGGGGACAAGTGTAGGACTGCACATGCATAGCAGATAAATAACGTTTGGTGCTAACGAGGCCACAGTTAATCCTGAGCAGGAGAAAGGATGTTTCTGTCTGGGTCGTATCATTCTAGTGAGCTATCAGTTATCATTTTGATGAGATTGTTCAATTATTCAGAGTTGCTTTGAGACTGGAGAGCTGCGTACAGGTCGCAACATGCATATTCTGTTCTAATTTAGGCACAACTCTTATTAACACTCGTCTGAAATCTGTTAAGAATATTAAAGTGCAAACTAAAGTTTTTAGACTGGAAAAAAAAACCAGCACAAATATTCATCCACATCCAGAGTTTTAAATTTCACCTACTTTTGATCCCTTTTCTTCCTGTACGGTTGTTTGCCTTAGTGTTTGCAGTGAACTTACACGGCACAACTGAGTTTGTGTATGTCTTTGTTAAAATCTGGTCATTTTAGGTGAAGCTTTCTCCTTGAGGATATTCAAAGACTGGTTTTCTGGTTTATTCAGGGTCCGACCTGCACGGTGTGATGCAGTCGAGAGCCGTCCCCTTCTTAGGTCACATAACCCTCACAGTGGAAGCGAGCAGCACCCCTCAAGGCTGGGAGCTCGCAGTGCCCAGGGACACCTGCCTACATGGCGGACGTGGCCTTGGGTCACTCCCACGCCGGCCTTCGGACTGTTGCTGCCTCTGCTCGGAATACAGTACTGTTGTGCTGCTTCCAATTGGGCACTGCCGAAGATTTCAACAGGGCTTGCTTCTGTCGTCTCACTGCTGTACAGTGAGTAACTCCTGCAAGGGGAGTCTTCTCCTTTGGGCCTATGTTCTCCCTTCCGTGCCACACGTACCAGGACGTTGCTCTCCCCCCACCCCAGCTCCCTCAGCGGAGCCCTACCTCCTGCTCCCTTGGCGCCAGGCCTGTTGCCAGGCCGTCTCAGGTCCACGTCACAGCCCTGGGATGGAAAAAGTGCCGGGCAGAGCTGCTTGCCAAATTTCTATTGAGCAACTGAGCCTGGTACCTGGGGCTTCAGTGCAGGCACCAGGCCACAGCCCCGGGCTACGGCTGGAGCTCCCCCCTCTCCGGAGCCCTGTAAGGCCCCACCGCTACCGCCGCGGCCTTGCGCTGCCACCTCGCCGCCCTCACGGGGTCTGACACCTCCAACCCTGTCATGGTTCATGACTCACCGATGTTGAAGCATATAAGAGGAGGAAGAGTCCCAAATGGCAGCGCTTCCCTCTTCCTCAGACTGCCTCGTCATTGCTGTGCGGGTGAGTCAGAGGTTACCGCTCACACCAGCTGGCGACTACAGCCCAGCCGGGCAGAAACTCCCAGCAGCACTGACCTCAGTGGTCCCCGCCTGCACACTCGCTCTCGTGGATTAGGCAAGAGGAAGAGTAGGAGCAAGCTGAAAATGTCAGTGCCCAGCACTGTCATCCCTGTGCTGAGAAACAAACGGTCTAGTTGTGCCTAA